TGCTGCAGCAGCCGGCACCCTGCCTGCACCCATGGGTAGCAGGTAGTGGGATCATCCCAGTGCCTGCAGCTCCCCGACGTGGCACAGGACAGGGGAGCAACCAGCCCTCCTTGGTGCTGTGGGGAGAGCTGTGTGCCCATCCCTGCAGCACAAGCGTTGTCCCAAGGTCTGCTGGCCCTGGGGACAAACATAGGGAGGGGAAGGACTGGAAGGAGAATGAGAGCCATGAAGTCCCCCTGGAAAATCCCTCCCATCCTGGACTCTCTGGGGCTCCCTGTGCTCTGCCAGACACAACCTACGTCCTCCTGGCAGCAAAACCTCACGGAAAGTTTCTGTCCTGCTGCCCCAGCCAAGGAGCTGGCAGCTCTGACAGCATTTCCCACAGGGAAGTGCCAAGAGCAGCCCAAGCCAAGGAGTGTCCCTGTCCCCTGGCTCTGCCTTCCCGTACTGCGTGGTCCCTGCACAGGCAGTGAAACTTCAGCCCAGTTTTTGGGGCTTGTCTCGATTTGATGGTGCCTGTATTTACACTTTATTACAGCCCGACTGGAGGTGAAAAAGAAAGCTGGGAGAAATCAGAGAGTTTCTGCCCACCGCCTCCTCCCCTGGGTGCTCTGGTCTCTCCACGGATGTCCCTGCTGTCCCCAAGCAGCCTCAGCTGGAGCGGTCCCAGGGTATCGAGGCCCCAGCATCCCTCCTGCCGGTGCCTGGCCCTGGCTCCTTGTGCAGCCCTGATGTGTCCAGCTGCAGGCAGCCGCCCCACGGAGCAGGCAGCTGCGGGGCACATGTGCTGCCCGACCTGGGCTGAAACCCCCAGGCTGCTCTCCCAGCTGTTAGCTGCCGGCTCCTCTCTGCTCGTTAGCAGTGACTGATGCGGGAGGCAGATTGAGACGCACATCTTTGCGTTTAGGGATATGGTTTTGATTTTAGGACTTGGTCCCTTCACAGCCCACAGCCTCGGGCACAGCCTCCAGCCCCGGATGAGCTGAGCCCCCCCCCCCACCTGGGGCAGTGGGGGACTCCTAAACCCCTCTGCAAATCCAAGCCTGAATTCAGCTTGTGCTTTTTGCTGAGAAAAACAGGAACTGGTCATTTGCCGAGTCATGCATTTCTGACATAAGTCATTTCAGTTAAACCTTCCCCACCGAGGCTTTGCTTTAGGAGCAGCTTAAACCAGCGGAGGGGCAGGCAGGGGGGACTCAGAGGTGGCAAGGTGAGAAGGGCCTCACCAATCTCACTGCTCCAGGCTGGAAGGAGCCACATAAGCGGATTTCTCCTTGCTCTGCCCATCTGGATTTGGGCTGGCTGGGGGTGCCCAGGGTGGGGGGAAACACTTCCCTTCTCCAGCTGGTTTGGATTCAGCCACACACTGGTCCAGCCTTGCTCACAGCTCCCTCCCTGCTAGCTCTCCTGCTGTGCCCCAGCAGCCGAGGTTTATTAATACAAATAGGAGCTAAAAGCCCAGTCTCACTGGGGATGGGACAGTCAGGGATTTTTTAGTCTAGCTGAGTGCTGCTTCATCCTCTGGGCATCACCACCAAGCCTCTTTGTGGTTTGCTACAGACATCGCAATCCTACCAGGGAAGCATTCCAAAATAAAAGGCGGAAGGGTGCCAATGCGAGGAAGGTTGGAGAAGCACCCACCATGAGTGCAGCCCTTCCCACAGCTGCTGGCATGGGGCTTGTCAAGGCATTGGACTAACGGTGACCCTGGCACTGTTATGTGGGGACAGCTTTGTGGTGCCAGCATGCAGTGCTGTTCTTCACCTGGGGCTGGGAACGTTGTTTTCTCTTCTGGGGGGAGGATAATTATTTAATGAGTAGTTTTGGTGCCTGCCGGGGGAGTATGTGCATGTGTGCAATTAGGGCTGGGGTGGGAGAGCCTGGACCAGTACTGGAGCAGGGAGCGCTGTGCCCCACTGTCCTGGGGATGGGATGGGGATGGGTGGCTGCCCTGCAAGCAGATCCCTGCCTGTGCTCCTGGGTCTGGTTGTGGTTGCTGGTGTCCTGAGGAAGCTGGTGGGGCTGCCCAGCTGGCAGGTCCCAGGCCTGGGGTCAGCATTTGGAGCTGTGTCAGTGGGATGGTTCGTGCAGGTGAGCCTGCACACTTGGTGTTCTTGCTGTGGGGCTGGAGATATCAGCCTTGGTGTCCGGAAGGCAAACGTCCCCAAAGCAGGGGCTCACCACAGACCCCGGGCAGGGGATGGCAGGATACCAGGGCATGCTGGGCCCCTCTGCTGCCACGGAGTGCTCTGGCCAGCGCTGGAGATGGGCTGGCTACCTTGAATAAGCCAGGTGGCAGAGCACCCCACTGCAAGGCAGGGACCCCGTCCCACTGCGGGACAGGCTGTGATAGCTGCTGCTGCCGTCATGATGTGCTCCGCTGTCTCTTGGCACAGACCTGCGCCCACTGGACATCCTCTCGGAGGTGGTGCCTGTCGGCAGGCTGGCCCACGGCATGAGGGTGTTTCAAGTGCAGGGGGTGCGTGGTTTCCAGCTTGCTGCCTCACGGCCTCGTGCCCTGGGCTTCCCCGCCTCCCGGCTCTTCATCCACTGTGACCGCTTCCCTGAGGAGTTCTCCATCATCGTCACGCTGACGGTCCTCAGTGTCCCTGCCAAGGTAAGCACTGCTGGCTGGGCATGGAGCAGGCACAGCACAGCCCTGCTGCTTGTGGCACGCAGATTTGAGCACATGATCTTCTGCAGAGAAACGAGTATGTCTTCACGCTGATGGCAGAGGAGAGCCCCAGTGTGCTGGTGGGGCTGCGCTACGCTCCCGACAAGCTCCACTTCCTCTTCTGGAGCCAGGAGCAGGCCGGCGGCTGGCAGACCCGTGTCACCTTCCCCAATGTCTCCCTCTCCGACAACCAGTGGCACACGCTCGTCCTGGCTGTCTCCGGCCAGTCCTTCTCCCTGACGGTGGACTGCAGCGTTCCCAAGGACGTGTAGGTTGGAGGCAGTGGCGGGGGGGTCAGGAGTGCTGGCAGGGTGATGTTCCTCCACCAACCACCAGCAGACAACATAAAATTGTTCCCTGCCTCTTCTCTGCTCATTCACAGGGTGGTGGAGACGCCATTTCCAGCCTCTCTGTCGGTGAAGAGAGCCAGCTTCTACCTAGGCAACAGAAGGAGAAGGAAAGGCGTGTTCACGGTAGGTGCCCCATAGTACGGGGCTGCCCAGGGATGTTCGTGGCTCATTGTGGGGTGAGCTGCAGCCCCCTCTCAGCCCCCTTTGCTGGCAGGACTTGAGCCATGGTGTGTGCAACAGAGGTGGCCAGGGTCCCACTGCCAGGCTTGGTCCTCATCCAGCTGTGGGCGTGCAAGGGGCAGTGCTGGTGACTGGCACTTTGTGGGACAAACATGTTTTTAAGAGGATGCTGTCAGCAGTGCGGTGACAGAAAAACAGTTGATGGCACAGTCTCGCTGATATAAAAGTTAGGGCGGTGCATGATCCTGACCAGTAGTGGAAAGCAGAGGCGGTGAAAGCTCTTTGCCAGTGCTCCCCTTGCACCAGCTGTTAAATTGCCCAGGATGGAGATTTTGGCAGGCTGGGAATGTAACAAGGATCCGATAAACCTGTGTGAATCCTGTGGAGGCTTCCATGGCCCAGGAGGGAGGGTAATGAGCAAGAGTCAGGAGGAAAATCCAGGGCATGAATCACCTGCAGCTTCCATGTCTTGGTCATGATGGACTTGCTCTCCATCCTGCTGCTCCTGCTTTCCCAGGGCTTGCTGAGACAGCTTGTCTTGCTGCCAGGAGCTGATGCCACCCCTCGGATATGCACCGCCATGAACTTTAAAGTAGCGACGCTCTCTGTCCCCACTGTCCTCCAGGATCTCCCCACGAAGCCAGCCAGCAACGAGGTGCTAAAATACCCCTACGGTCAGTATCTCCCCATGGTGCAGGCTTGGTTGGCCACTTTCTGTGTTTGTTGAGGAAGGCTCTTTGCGTGGGGCTGGGCATGGAGGAGGAGTGGAGGGGAAGAGGGTGTCACCAGCACGCTCTGTTTCTCAGTGTGTTTTTGGGGTGGGATACCTGTCCAAAACCTCCCTGGAGAGCCAGAGTGCCCCTGCCCAGGTCCCTGGGCAGCACTGGGCTCATGCCAGTAGCCCCACAGGTGCCAGCCTTCAGGGTTTTCTCAGCCAGTGGCTTCCTGGCCCAATGCTGGGATGCCATTTCCCCTGTTCCTTGGTGCCTACCATCAGGATGGGACCGGGACATCTAACCCTCCCTGTGTGCATGGCTACGAGCCTTGCTGCTCTTCTGTTGTGTGCGCTAAGGGGTGCCTGCCTTGCTCCTCTCCATGCCCAGAGACTGACACGAAGGTGACCCTGGGGTCCCGTCCACCCTGCACCAAGCAGCAGAAGGCGCAGTTCTGGTTCAACGCCTCCTGGCGAGGGCTGTACCTCTGCAACGGCAGTGCCTGGATTTCCATGCTGGAAGGTACTGGTGTGCAATGGGCTCTCAGGGATGGAGGGAGGCTCTTGCAGCAGAGGAGGAGCAGAAATTTGCCCTTGACAACACTTTGGGGTGGGAACAGTCAGGCAAGAACAGAATGAGGGGTCTGCCTCTCCCCTGCTTGGCCAGGCTTTGCTTTGCTCTCCGTGCCCATGTTGATACTCCCAGTGCAGCTCTGGATTCAAGCGCCTCTGTGAGCCAGCTCCCTGATCACTCACACAATGCTGGTGTCATCCATCCACCTTAACCATGTTGTCCATCCCTCCTGGGGCTTCTCTGGTCAGGGACAAGCTCCTGGTCTGTCTAAGCGCGACAGCTCACCCCATGGAGAGCCATGCCTGGGGTGCTCCCTGCCATGGGGTCCCAAAGGTGCAGGTGCTCCCAGTGCCGAAGTGCTTGTGTGGTGGACAAGAAGGAGCAGAAAGACTCATCAGCTGCTGGAGATACCAGAAGGAGAAGTGTGATGGTGGTGGAGGCAGAGTGCCTGTGTTGTCCCAGCTCTGGTGGCCTTCATGCGGAAAATAGTGGGGCAACATTGGAGCAACAAGGTGACAAAGCAACCAGAGCCTGGAGGCATGGACGTTATTCAATAAGGAAATGGATTTCACCCACTGTCAGTCTCCCACTTGCTCCAGGCAGTCTGCCCAGGATCCCTGGTGAGGACATGGAGGGTGGGGTATGCCCACAACCGAGTTGTCCTTCCCACCTCTTCCTGGGTTTTTCTTATGCTGGTGCTCACGTGGTGGGTTTGGATGAGCCATTTGCTCCTCACAGGAGCTGGCAACAGCCGGACTCCCCATCCTTCCCTACCTCTGGAAGTCATCAGGATTGGCACCATGCCCTTCTTTTCCCAAGGAGATCTTGTGTTGGCGTCTTGCTGACCTGCGCCCCTTGGAGCCACCAACACTGGCCCTTTTTGTAGCCCTTCTCCTGCCATTTGTCCCTTCCAGTGCCCACCCATTTGCTGCTGAGTTTGCTCTTAGCATTTCTGTTCTAATTTCTGGCATTAATTCTGTCTAAGTCTTCTCTAACTTCTTCCAGAGCTCATGCTGACTCCAGCCAGAGAAAACATCTGGTGCAGGGCTGCTGCAGGTGGGTACGGGGTAACCTGGCTGGTCTCAGCAGCCCAGGCCCTTTTGCTGTAGGTCCTCGTTCTCTTTCGGATAAATATATCAACCCACTTTGTAAGAAGCAATCAAAATCCGTGGCATGTCATTCTTCCCCCCTCCCGGAGGAGACTGCCCGGCAGAGCATTTTGCAGCCCTGCCCTCTGCTGGGGAACAGGCAGGGTGGATGAGGCTGAACGTGCTGCCCAATGAGATGGAGTCAGGCCTTTTACCACCCCCTCGAGTTTTGGCCATTCACCACCTGTGACACCAGGACCTTTATTTTCCCCCCATAAAACTCCATACAGCAACAAGCGTCAATGAGCCAGCTCTGCTATGCACCGAGGGGCACCTCTCTAGGCAAAGGCATCTGGTTTTAACCTCACCTCTCTTTTTTTTTCATGGTCTCCTAGTCAAACAAAGGCTGGACTACGTGGAGGAATACCAGAACCTGGTGACCAACTCTGAGACCATGGGTATTGAAGTCTTCACCATCCCAAAGGTGGGACTGTTCGCAGCCACTGCCAACCGGTACACCCCGCCAGGATCAGCCATCTACAAGTGGACTGACAGGAAGTTTGTACCCTACCAGAACATCCCCACCTACCAAGCTCAGGCCTGGAAGTATTTCACCATAGGAAAGAAGGTAAGTCTGCTGAGAGCCAGCTTTGTGCAGAGCTCCCAGGGGTGTTGGGAAGGTTCCCTGTCTGGCTTTGTCACCAGATGCCGCACAGGATGGCTGCAGGGCTTGCCCATCACTAGCCATGTGCTCCAGCATACAGAGGGATGGGCAGAAGTCCTGTCTTCAGGCTTGGTGGCACCAACAGCACTGCTACTTGGATACAAATGGGCCGCGTCCCGCCTGCATTAACCTGCCTGAGGGTGGGATCCTGCAGAAAACCTGGTCAAGCCCTGAAAAATGCAGCTGTGTTGCAAAGCTGGCTTTGAGCTGGGAACATGCCTGCCATCGCCAGCACTGTGCTTGCTCTGCAAAGCTCTGGCTACACCCTCATGGGCAGGAGACAGGAACATCCTCAGCTGGGTTTATCTGCTGATGGGAACCACCTTGAGACTCCCCAGTGTTAGTCTGGACCCACAATACCCCCTTGCAGTGACGGCTGTGGGGGCAGAGGAGTCCACCAGGCTGGGGGGTCCCAACTTCCCGTGATTCCTACACATCGAAGCACCCATGTTGATGCTCACCAAGGCTCATGGTTTGCCTTCAGGTCTTCACTGAGAAAAACTTGCTCAGACATACTAGGAAGGATGGCCTCTGTCCTGCAAGCTTGGGGCAGGTGCCCTAGTTGGGGCTACCCTTGGAGCTCCAGAATGGCTGGGGACAGAGGCAGGCACCCTGCATGCAGCTAACCATGCTTGGCATGTTTCTGCGTGGAGCTGATGACCGTAGGTTGCACCAGCAGTGGTACAGACCTCTCCATTTAGCCCAGGTTCCTCACACACGTTGCAGGTGGAGTGCACCTCTGTAGGTGTCAGCACCTCATCACTGCACCAGGACCTGCCGATGCTCTGCTGGGAGGGGGTGAAGAGCCCCAGAGGGCAGGGCTGGGGTCTCCTGGTGGCTTCTGTCAATGGAGATCAAGGGACTGCAGGATCCTGAGTTGTGGGGTTGGATCCAGGACTTTCTCTTCCCTCTGAAGCTCTGTTTCTGCAGATCCCCTGAAGGGACTCCCTGGACTGGGGCTCAACGGGAGAACTGCCCAGTGCTGGGGATGCACCTTGGAGGGATGTGTAGACCCAGCACAGGCCTCCGCTGAGGGTGGAAGTCTCTGTCCTTGGGGGTGGCTGAGCCTCAGCTGGACAAAGCCCCAGATGGGTGCTGGCAGGGTGCTGTGCTGGGCAGGAGGCAGGAGACAGCCCCCGCTGACTGTTTTCTGCTTGTAGGCTGTGTTGCTATGCATCTTTGCAGCCCAGCTGGGGCATAACCTCTGCTCCTCCATACAAAACATGCCGGAGTGGTGGAGCCAGCATGACACACCACATGCTCCCGTGAGCTTGGATGTGCTGCCTACCTTGTGCAAGGCCATCTTTGCTGCTGCACGCTTGTCCCTGACGCTCACAGGGAGTTTTTCTTGCTCTTCTCTCCTGTTTTGTCTCAGGGAATCGTTATTATCATTATTATTTTTACCATATCTGCAATTTTCTTCTGAACAACGTTTCCTTATGGGAGAAGTTTGATAGATTGGACACCCCCTCTCCCTCCCCAGCCCATTTCATCAGCACAGCCATGCTCCCTGTTCCCGTGGCTGGCAGGGAGCGAGCAGATGCAGCATGGCTCTCCCTCAGCTCTGCTCTGAGGCTGTGGCTGCAAGTCTCATCACTGCCCTAGCTCTGCGTATGGCGGGCGCCGCTGCTGATGTGCCAAAGATCCCCATGAGCCACCGGTCCCTGTTCCTCCCCCTTCAGGTGCATTGTGCTGCTTGGGGGCTGCTGGGGGACCCCTGCCAGCCAGGGCTGTCCTGCCTCACACCGGCCACCTCGGTCCCTGGCCCCGCATTCCATGGGTGCTTGCCCTCACTCATCCCATCTTTATCCTGCCCGTGCTTGTCTGCATCCCTTTGAGAGGAGAAAATCAAGATGTCCTTGTTTGTTATTTTTCAGATCTTCCTAGCAGTGGCTAATTTTGAGCAGAATGACAGGGGTCAGGAGTTCTCTGTAATATACAAGTGGAGCCGCAGGAAAGAGAAATTCATCACGTACCAGAGGATCACCACGCACAGCGCTAGGGACTGGGAGGCATTTGTCATTGAGGGAGAGGCTTTCCTCGCAGTGGTCAACCACAGAGAAGGTACCCAGCCCTTATATTCCATACTGGCCCAGCTCAGCTGGGGCAGGTGGCCCTGGAGTGACACGGGGGGCTGGGGACCACAGCACCCCACCACAGGCACCCTGCTGAAGAGCATCCTCCCGTTGCCATGGAAACACTGCAGCTCCCTACATCCTCTGCTGAAGTGGAGGGCAAAGCTGGGGAGTCAGCGCACGCAGCTCGGAGTGTGATGTCCCTCAGGAAGCCCCAACCCTTGCAGATCCTCTCATTTTATGAGAGAAAAGCACTCGGGGAAGTGGCTGATATGGTCCCCCTGTGGGTTTCCGACTGCGGGGGACAAGGACAGAAGTGGAGATGGTGTCTTTGCTGAAACTCTCTGCTTCTTTTCACTTGTTTCCCCAATGCTACATAGCATGGTGGGGTGGTGAGGGCAGCTGCATGGGTTTTCAGGGGCTGAGCCTTGTGATAAGCCAAAGCCTTGGCCTTGTGGGCACACAGGAAACCGAGGGAAGCCAAGTGAGAGCCCACTGATGTCCTTCTTTCCCTGGGCACCCTGCAGACGTGATGCAGCCTCATTCCCCTCCCAGGCCACGAGTTGTTCTGGGCTGGGGATGCATCCCTCAGCATGGGGGATGGGTGGGTCAATACTACAGCCTTGGCTTTCCAGGATGCTGTCAGCCGGGTTCAGATGCTGGGCTGGTGGGCTCCTTCCCTGCCATCAGCACTGGATCCTGGGGCATCAGCTCCTCTGGCACCAGGCTTAAAGCTGGTGGCAGGTTGCTTGGGCACCAGCTGCCTATAAGATGGGCTAGAAACTCTCCATGTCACCTGTTGGACCCCACCGTGGCCAGTTTGGCTGAGACCTACTCCCATGGTAGTGGCAGTGGCAGCAGAAAGGTCCCTTCGTTGGCCATGCACATCATGCAGGGGTTAAGACCATCATGGCCAAGCCAAACTGACCCCCCTTAGGGGGTGGTGGAGGGTCAGTCCCTGAGGAGCTGCCACTTATCCATGTGCCATTTCCCACACACCCTGTTCTCCCCGCAGCCCTTCTTGCCAAAGTCTGTTCTGTTACAATGAAGATTGCCTGGAAACCTGTTAACATGTGGTCCCGCTGCTGCTTAGCCACCAGAAACACCAGTGGGGCCAGGCCGAGTACAGCAGAGCTTAGCGTGAGGTGGAAAGGAGCTGGTGATTCTCCCCTCCTGTCCCAATGAAGCCAGCCCTGTTTTAGAAGAACAGCTCTGGCTTGAGGGGTTGTGCCAGGCTGCAGAAAGGTTTTTAGCTTTAAACCCAGCTGCATCCCACACAGACATGAGATTGAGGTGCTTGAACAGAGCCCACGAGCTGGATGGAGCACGTGCTTTGGTGCTGGTGGGCTCAGCCCGAGTGCCCAGCACGGGGCAGGGCACAGGCTGTGGCATCCCTTCCCTCTTTCTGGAGTTTGTGCCATCAGTGGGGATCAGCGCATGAAGGTCCCCGGCCAGCTCCAGTGCTCAGGAGCTGAGCATGGGGACTTGGCAAAGGAGTGCTCAAAAACATCACTGGGTGCCGTTCCAGTTGTGGCTGCCTCCCAGCTGTGCAAGCTGGTGCGCGAAGGGTGACAGCATCCCATGATGTTGGTAGCTTAGGGACTTCGCTGGGACTGGCCCCATTACACATGGCCACCCTGTGGGACAGCCGACAGTTTGGCTGCTCTGGGGCACCAGCATGGTGCCTCTGGTGTGCTGCTTGTGTAGGGTGACAGCACCCTCCCCATTCTCCTCTGCCAGGGGCTGCCACGATGCTGCCACTGCACATTTGGGAATAAGCTGCCAACATGTTCAATGGGGATGGAGGCTCCAGGTAGGGATGGAGGCTCCAGGTAGGGATGGAGGCTCTAGGTGGGGATGGAGGCTCTGGGTAGAGATGGAGGCTCTAGAGTCTCTTTGGCTACTTCTTGGGGAGCAATCAGTCACTAGCAAACAGCCTTGCAACCTGCTGGCAAATACTTGTGTAGCTGAACCTGTTTCTGGGTCTTGTTTCTTACACGAGCCAGGTATTCCTTTTCCTCATGGTGCATATCTTGTCTGTCTGTCTCCCCCAGGGAATAACCACAACATAGACAGCGTGATATACAGGTGGAACCCCAGGACAGGGTTGTTTGAAACCAATCAGACCATCCCTACCTCTGGAGCCTATGACTGGGAATTTTTCACCATCGGGCCATATTCCTTCTTGGCTGTGGCTAACACGTTCAATGGCACATCCACTAAGATCTACTCACACATCTACATCTGGCTCAGTGGCTCTTTCCAGCTCTTCCAGTCTATCCTGGTAAGGCTTGGCCACTGATCAAACTCTACTCCTTGGTCCCCCCTCTAGGTTTAGACATGCCTGGGAATAATTATAGAGGCAGATGCTCTTCAGACCTCTGGAAATGTAGTGATAGTTTTCCCCTGATTCTCCCATAGGGACTGACAGAGCAAGGTTTATTTTTTCCTTCGAGGGTTTTAGGAGTGGGTAACTTCCCCGCTGCACTTCCAGCAGGTTCCCCACACCTCATGGCATGCTTGGCTTGCAAAGGCTTGCCCACATCCAGCTTCTCATGTGGCTTCCTTCCCTGCAGACTTTCGGTGCTGCTGACTGGGAGGTCTTCCGTATTGGGAACAGAGTCTTCCTGGCTGTTGCAAACAGCCACAGCTATGACAGTGGGATGCCAGCACCCTCTAACTTCTACGCCATCAACTCTTCCATCTATGAGCTGAACATCACTGCCCAGATGTTTGTCAAATTCCAGGACCTCCTGACCTACAGGTACCTGGGCAAAGAGTCAGGGTGCTTCTCAGGCTGCATCCTTCCCCTGAGCAACCTCGAGGTCTCCTGGAGGGTTTAGGCAGGCTTGCACGCTGCCAGTGACTGGGACTGGTGGGGCGGGCAATGGGTGACAGGTCCTTGGCACAAAAATCCCAGAGGGAGGTAGGAGAAGGCCCTGGATTTGGGAACAAGGGTGGATTTCCTTTCAGGAACAGCATGAGAAGAGCAGGGTTTTCTGTATATCATCAAAGTGGCAGAGGTTGGTGTGGGATGGGTTCAGCCTCATAGATGTGCAGCCCCTTCCTTGGCTGGCCACAGAGGGGCCACCTCACCTGCCCCTTTGCTTGCTTCATCCCCAGTGCCCTGGACTGGGAGTTCTTCTCAGTGGGAGACGACTCTTTTCTGGTGGTAGCAAACTCCTTCGATGGCTTCACCTTCTCCGTTAACAGTATTATCTACAGGTACTGCTGTGGGAGGAGGGCAGGGTTGGGTGGTTGTTCCCAGCAGGAATGACCCTGTCCAGAGACCAGCACAGGGGCAACCTCTGCAGATGCAGTGCATCTGCCCAGGGAGGACAGATAGGAGGACTGCTCCCTGTTTCTGGAGAGCTTTCTGGGCAGGAGTGGAAAGCCCCAATGAGGGACATCCCACCCTGAACTGCAGCGGGGAGGTGGAAGATGCCAGCCCCACAGCTTGGCTTTCCTGCCCGCTTTCAGGTGCCCAGCTTGTGCCCCAAGACCTAACTGCCCTCCCCATGCAGGTGGCAAGGCTATGAAGGCTTCGTTGCGGCACACCACCTCCCCACTGTTGGCTGCAGAGACTGGGAGGCATTTCACACCGCCGAGGGCTCCTACCTCCTCTACTCTAGTGCCAAGGAGCCGCTTTCCAAGGTGCTCAAGCTGAAAACCACCTGAGGTGGCTGAGACACTTTCAGCTCATCACCAGGATCAGGGCAAGCTGGGCATTAAGGTGAAGATGGACCATAGAGCCCAGGAACAGCTGCAGCATCAGCCCTGCAGCTGGCTGGTTGTGCGTTCCACAGGAGGGGGAGGAGGAGGAGGGGAGCTCCAGGGCTCCCTGCAGCCTTGTCAGGGGGCTGGCAAAGGGGCTGCGACCCTGCTTTGGTGCTGTTTCTCCTGGGCAAGCTCTCCTGTCACGCTCCAGAGCCATGTCCTACCCAGGATGCCTGGCACCCAGGTGCTTCTCCAGGCTTGCTGGGACCGTGGTGCTTGGCAGTTTCCAGCCAGGAGGGACCCAGAGCTGCCATTGGTTGTGGCCAGAGTTCGCACAAAGCCAGGGAAAAAGAAACTGAGCAGAATGTGTGCTGCTGGGGTGGGTGCGTGGCAGGGTGGAGGAAACAGCATGTGAGAAATTGGGGGAAAAGTTGGCTTTGGGCTTGGCGCTGGCTGCCCAGCGCCAGGGGCTGCGGTGCTGCTGAGGACCCATCCACCCCATCCCACTGCTGTGGGTGCCTGTCCACCCTCCTGCTGCGCCATGGCCAGTTTCAGTCGTCCTTGCCAAGTGACGTGTGTATATTGTACAAGTCCATAGATGTGTACAAGGACCAATGCTGGTCCTTGCACCCCTTTGCATGAGGTTAGTGACTTCCGAGCAAACCTGCTGTGTGTTGGGACCGATCCAGCTACCATGGGCATGGGAAAGTCCCCAAACTGCTCCAGGTGAAACCGTGGCCTCTTTTCTTTTCCTCGCCTTTGCTGGGGGACTTTTTTGCTTAACCAGAGCTCTAATAAACTGTGTGCACCCAGCCTCTGTTCCACGAGCAAGCTGCAGGTACCTGAGCTACTCTGACTATGGCAGCGGCTTCCGTCCACTCAACAAGCCACCCCCTGAGTGAGATAGGGCCATGTCCTTGGCCATAGGTGGCCCGTGAGGACAAGGTGGCCCTGACCACAGCGGGGTGCTGGGGTGAGGTTGCCCCTCTGCCTCCCCCCACCTGGGACCCTCTGTCTCTCCCAGCTGGCCCAGAGCATCACTCAGCCTTCCCCAGTCCCAGGTTTGGCACTGGAGAGCCCCCAGGAGGTGCCAGTCCCCCCAAGAAGGGGCTGAGGGGTGTCATGGCCTGAGCCACCCCAGGGTCCAGGCCCAGTAAAGCCAGCACGGGCAGCCCCTGCAGACCTCCCTCCTCCCCCAGCCCAGCCGTGGCCGCAGCTGGCTCTGCCGGGAAGGACCATTTCTTGCTTGTGAAACAACAGAACTTGATTTGCTTCCATTGTGTTGAGCCATGAGCAGCATCTCTAATTTGTCCCCAAGAAAGGGCAAGATAAGGTGAGATGTACCAGACAAGATGCAGAGGCACCATTTGGCCAGCTGGCCCCTGCTCGAGGCAGGCTCGGGTGAGGGTGGAGGGGATGTAATCTAATGGGAGTTGAGCTGGTACATTGAATTTAGGCTTGTCTGCTTTGGGAGTGATTGAATTAGGACAAGCGCAACCCCTTCAAGCACCACTGCTCTCTCCAGACACTCAGCTCCCAGCGTAGCACAAACCCTGAGGGCTTTTCCTATGTGCAGGGCTTTATTGAGATATCAAAGGTTTGGGAGATCATCCCCCGGTTGCTGGTGGCAGGCAGAGGCTGCTGAGATGCTGTGTGGAGGCTGGGGCTGATGTCCTGCTCTCTGCAAGGCTGGGACGGAGTGACCCCGCTGCACAGAGCAACTGATCCCTCTGTGCCCCAGGCTCCAGGGACCTTCTGGCTCCACAAGAACCCTCACCCTCACCTGTCTCCCCCCAGGGGCTGGTTGTCTCCAGACCATGTGGACAATGAGCATGTGACTGGGGCCACTTTCCCTGCGAGACCAGCTCTGTCAGGGTTAAAAGGGGTCTGCAGGGAGGGGGTTCCTCCCTGGGAATCTAGGCTCCACAGACAGGTCTGCATGGTGTGTCCCTGGCATCCCTCCCCCATGTTGTTTGCTCAAGGTCCATCCAGCGTCACTGGGGAGGGACGAAGTCAGTGGCACTCGTTTGCAGGACTGGAGCAAGTGCTGGAAAAGCCCACAGAGAAGCTTTGAAGCCCACCAAGTTGCCACTGGTTCCCTGCAAAGAAGCTGGAAACAGGGTGCCCTAATCCTGCACTACAGGGCAGTGCTGGTAATCTCTGCATGGCCCTGGGTGCTTGGCAGTGACTTCAGGTAATCCACGTGCTTGCAGGTGTCCTCTTGATTGTGCCGGACATAGCAGATCACATAGACGATGACCATGGCGAACCAGCCAAACATGGTGATGAACATGGCCACATCCGTGGTTCTCTGACGCCCGCTGCAGAAGTTGACACCAGCATCCAGGACCTGGAGCAGTGGCTTGCCCACGTACTCCTCGCGTGGGGCCGTGTGGCAGGTGATGTCCTGGACAGAGTCGGGGTCCAGCCGCACCTCCCACAACACCTCCTGCAAGGCACACTCGCAGTGCCAGGGGTTGTTGGCCAGGCGGAGCTTGGCACTGAGCGCCAGCAAGGCCTCCTTGGGGATGCTACGGATGCGATTGCTGGAGAGGTCAAGAGTACGCAGCCCAGCAGCCACCCCTTTGAAAGCCGCCCTGTCGAAAAACATTCCTGGAGAGATCGAGTTCCTCCAGGTGGGTGAGGTGCCTGAAGGCATTGCTGGGGATTCTGGTGATGCTGTTGGTGTCCAGCTTGAGGAATACTGCGTCTTTGGGGATGTCCTTGGGGATCTCTTCCAAGTGCCGGGAACTGCAGAGGACGGCCTTTGCCCCTGCCCACTCTGTGCACTGGCAGCTTGGGGGGCAGGAGCTGCCCCAGGGGATACACAGCAGGAGGCAAAAGAAAGCCTGGGTGATGCTGGCTGCCGGTGTGGTCGTGAGGGTCATCTTGCACCTGACCAGGTTGGCATGGCTGCTGGCAATTCCTCGGTGGCTGCAGCATCTTCTGGATAGCAGGGTGGCTCCTCTGCGCTCCTGCAAAGCATCTCCCATTGCTGGAGGAAAGCAGTGGGTGGAAAGGATATGACACGGCATTATTTCCTGAAACATCACGTTTCATGTTATGCGCCCTGGCAAAGTGGGGAGAGATTGAGCTCAGGAGCCCAGAAAACAAGGGTGCAATGACACTGGCTACCATCTTCTGCAGGACAGCTTAATTTGGTTTAAGGTTAATTATACCCGGACATAGAGCTGCAGAGATTAAAAACCCTGCCCCGACTTTGGCACAGACCACCAGGCAGGATAAAGGTTGCTGTGGGATGGGGGGGTGTCAAGATGGGCATAGCCCAGGAGCCTCTGCCCCAGCCTGCTGCCAGTTTCCACATGGGATGTGGTGATTTGCTGCTGGAGAACAGCAGCAGTCAATTCCTATCTCACCCACCCTGAGTGTTAAAAAAAAAAAGATGAGTCAGACTCCCCAGATCATCAGATCGGCTTAATCACCACTGGGTTTTTAAATAACAAGTTATAGAGTTCTTTCGTGTTCCCCATCTGGTCCATGAGCTGGTACAAGTCATGTTTCCAAGGGTTTTGCCAGAGCAGAGGTTTGGAGGTGACTTTGTTTTTTTAAAGTAAACAAAGAGTATGGTTTAACAGCCTGACTCCGGGAGCTGGAGCTTAAGAGAGGAGCCAGTGACTCCCACAGCAAAGCCCTGCTGGGGATGAGTTAGGAGGTGAAGCGGGTGGGCCTTCTTTCCTCTGCCCTTTGGTGCTACTCACACCTCTCCTGCTGCCTTGGCCAGGCTGGCAGGAAGGAGATCCCCACAGAGGGGAAAGTTGTGGGATGGGACCTTGGCAGGCCCGGGGAGCCTTTCACCTGAGAAGGAAATTGTCCGTGGTGAGCTCATTAGGGTGGTTATCCCTCTGGTACCAGCACCCTTTTGCTAATGGCATGCCCCTGGTAACGGCACCCTGTAAGTACCAGCATCTCGTAGGTATGAGCATCCACAGGGTACCACCCAGGGGGACACTCATACCTGAGGGATGCTGCCTGTAGACCTGCCCAGCGGTGTGGGACTGTGCAGTGGACTCTTACAGGGCAGATTAAGTCGAGCTGCCCGTGAAACCCCCCTGGCCTTACAAACGTTACCAGGCTCTGCCAGCCCAGGCTCTCCGGGGATGTGCTTTGCGGTGCCGCTTCTCATCGCCTGCACGAGCTCCTGGAGGGACTCAGAGGGACCCCGTCCCTCCCCGCCCTCCAGCCCAGCCCCAGCCGGACCCCGGCGTGT